TCCAGGGATAAGGGCCCATAGACATCACCCTTTTGTCTAGAGTGGATAATTATGAATAGTGCAAGCAGTGCCTAGCAAAGGAGCGTGCTGACTTTGTAAAATTAGCTTAGCTGGAAACAGTGCAAGGGCTCACATAGAAAAATCCATCTCTTCTCTCCAAACACTTGAAGATGTAAAACAGATTTTCTTTAGCACCCCAGGAGGTCGCCATCAAGAAGTCTTCAGCTGAACCAGAAGAATGGCAACACGCATGGTAAAAGGGTTTCGTCTTAATACAGCGAACCGTAACAAACAATCTGTTTGAATACAAGCTAAAACCAAACACGCAACATCTTTTTTACGGTTATCTGCGATCTGGAGAACCCCTTTTAGGGCAATCCGCTTCTGTTTGGGCAGATGCGAATGGGGCTTAACAAAAGGGAAATATGAATGCAATAATTCAGGCATCGGCTGAGATTCGTGATAAGTTTTCGAGGGTTTTATGTTTCGGTGTTCACCATTATGTTCGAAATTATCAGAGATGGGCTCGGAATCGAACAAACTGGTCAATGTGATTCGCTGAACAGTTAAAATTGCTTTGGAATGAGCAGCAAGTTGAGGGTTTTCCAAGAAAAGAGCTGGATTTTTGAATGGACGTAGAAAGTTCTGGTCTAGTTCTAGCTCTAGAGATCCACTACTGAGTTGCCAGATTCAAGGATTTTTCGGACAAAGTTCGCTTCTAATCCAGGAAAATTCATCGAAATCGACACGATGCTAGATTTTTACTGACCTTAGTATTTGTTCTTCTCTAAGCCCGGGACGTCCAGCCGAGCTGCAGAACTGCAACAAAAATGACTGGTGTCAACCTCAGAACTAGTATTTTTTTGCCAGTGCATAGGCTAACCTTTCATCTATGAACCCAGAAAATGTTTTTCCCATACACCTACTGTTGATTTTTAACAAGCTGTGCAACTAGCCGCTTATTTAAGCCTGAGGTAGCTAAGTGGCGAATAAACAAAAAAAAATTCTGCTGGCAACACCAGATTTGGCAGCTTCTTGCAAATTCTCCAGTGCATCGCAAAACCTTCCGGCTTCAAATCCTGAAAAAATCGTTCAAATCAAGGGACGCGTTCATTTTTCACAGACCTTGAATCTTGCGCTTCCACTGAGCCAGGGACGTGAAGCTGTATGCCTAAGAAAGAGCTTCTAACGTTAATTAAAAAATTAACTGGCGTCAACCCCAAAGCTCCCACGCCGCTGAAATTTGCCCAACTCATAGAATAACAATTCCTCTATAAATCCAGAAAAACTGATTTATATGGAGACACAGATTCATTTTACGCACTATTTGAAACGTGCTCCTGCACTAAATCCGGATCGCCAAACGGCCGAATTAAGGAAAAAAAAATAAAGGTGCCGTCCTCAACGCCGGCAGCCTTTTGCAATTTCACCACTACATCGGGATGCTTCCAGCTATAAATTCAGAAAAATTCGTTGAAATTCAGAAACTCGCTCATTTTTTGCAGACCTTGAAACTTGCTCTTGCACAAGCCCAAAATGTCAGACTGTAGGAATACGGAAAAATATTGCTGGTGCCAGCCACACAATTGCTCTTGGTGTCAAACTCAAAGCTGGCAGAATTTCACAATTTCGCCAGTACATTCAGGAAGCCTCCCGTTGTAAGCTGAGGAAGACTCATTCACATTGAACTCCTTAGTTTTTTTACAGAGCTTGAAACTTGCGCTTTCACTAAGCTTGGAACGCCAAACTGCAGGACTCTGGGAGAAAATTGCTGGTGCCAGCGACAAAACTGCAGCGCTTTGGGACTTTAATTGCCTCATAAAAAAATGTCTGAGCTGCAAATGTGGGAAATCTTACTCGAATCGAGACATTGGTTCATTTTACATTTTGACTTTGAAACGCGCTCCTGCACTGAGCCCACGACTCCTAACTACGGCTACGAACAAAAATTACTGGCGTCAAATCCCAAATTTGGTGGAACTTTGTGCTTTCACCCACAAAAACCAGAATCTTCTAGCTATTCACACAAAAAATATCCTTAAAATCCTGCCACTAATTAAGCAATTAGGCGCTCTGAAACTTGTTCCTTATTTAAGTCTGAAACCGCCAACGGTGGGATCACCAAAAAAAGTCCTAGTATCAACCGCAAACCTGACTGATTTTTGGAGTTTCTGCAGTACATAGGGGAAGCCTTCAGCTATAAAGCTAGGAAATTTCATTGAAATCCAGCTATTAGTTAATTTTTTACATCCATTGAAACTTGCTTCTCTACTAAACTCAAAACTCCAAACTGTAGGCGCAAAGAAAAAAATACTGGCATTACCCATTAATTTAACGAATATATAGAGAAAGCTACCAGCTATAAAGCCATCAAATTTTATTGAAATCTAGTGTTCATTTTTCTGTGAGCTCAAAAATTGGCTTTTTCACTAAGCCCGAACGCCAAACTGTATACCTACTAAAAAAATACTGGTGTCAAGCACGAACGGTGGGAGTGTTAAGAATTTCACTAGCGCATAGAAGAGATTTTCAGCTATAAGTTCGGACAATTTATTCCAAATCTAGACATTGGTTACCTGTAAGACACCTTGAATCGTACTGTTGCACTAAGCCCAGAACGCTAAAAACGGTAAACTGCAGAGCTACGGAAAACCTCCCTGGTGTCACCCCCAAAGCTGGCAGGATATTTGAATTTAACCAGCTCCAAGAACGGCTTTCTAGCTCTGCATCCCCGAAATTTCAGTGAAATCCCCAAACCGGTTAACTTTTCACAGGCCCTGAAACTTGCTCTTGATTCAAGGCTAAAACAGCCAACTGTAAAATCACCTCAACAAATTTTTGGTGTCTACCTCATCACTCACAAATCTTTGCAATTTCACCAGTGCATAGAGGAAGCTTCTGAATATAAATCTAGAAAATTTAATTACGTTTCAGAAATAAGTTCAGTTTTCACAAACTCTAAAACTAAGCATCGAACGCCAAGCTGTGTAACCACGGAGAAAATTATTGCTGTCCACCCCAAAATTGGATTTAAAAAATTGTGATATAAACCTGAGGAAAGGGAGGTTTTTAAAATTTGTCCAGCCCATTGAGGAACCTTCCAGCTACGATTTGAAGGAATTTGATTAAAATTCCAATATTGGTTGAATTTTAACAGACTTTGAAACTTGTCTCTAAAACTAAGCTTTAACACCCAACTGCAGAACTGCGACGTAAAATTGCTGATGCCGTGTAAGGATTTTAAAGCTTTGCTGTTGTATTAGGGAATTTTTAACCTATAAATGTAGGAAATGGCCCTAAAATCTAGGGGCCAGTTGATATTTTAGGGGCTCTGAAACTTGTGTGTCAATTAGGCCTGAAACGACCAACTGTAGAATTTAAACATATTATGTTTTTAACCTCCGAACGAGCACATTTTTGCAATTTTTCTCGCTTATAGAGGGACCTGCGGGCTACAAACTGAAGGAATTTCAATAAAATCCAAGTATTTTGCCGACTATAAAACTTGTCTCTAAAACTAAACCTGGACCGCCAAACTGCAGAACCACGAAGAAAAAATCGTAGTGACATCTCCAAAGCCGACAACTTTTTGGAAGTTTGCTAGCGCATAGAGGACTCTTCTTGCTAGAAATCCAGAAAATGTTCATAAAATTCATGTGCTCATTGGTATTTAGTTTATTATTAATTAGTTATTATTAAACCCAAATGAAACAAGTGTAGCAGGATCAAAGAAAAAATCGTGGAATCAATCCCAAAGCGAGCAAGTTCTTGATACTTTGTCAGTGCATCGAAAATTCTTTCAGCTAAAAATCTGAAAAAAATTGTTAAAATTCAGTGACACATCGATTTTTTCAGAAATTTGAAACACGCCTTTCAACTAAGGCTAGAACGACCAAACTTCAAACCCAAAATTAAAAATTCCTGCTTGCAGCCTCAAAGTCGGCAGCTTTTTAGAGTTTTGACAAAAAAGACATAAACTTTCAAGCTATGAATGCAGAAAATGTCATCGAAGCCGAAACTTGGGCTGATTTTTTACTTGGGTACTTCTGACTGTGATTCATACTTGATGCGTGTTGGGATAGACAAAGATTACAAACCTTCCGGCTTCTCTTAGCGTTTTCTCTTCGATTTTTGGATGTGGCAAAGACGGGACGAAAAACTGGTTAGTTTTACCAGAAAAGTGCCCAATTTGTCACGTTCCATCGACGTGATTTTCTGCGCAAAATGAGATCACAAAACCGATTTTCGATGCTTAGAAAATGCCTCATAAAAAGTATGCAGAATTCCCAGTCAGAATCGCATAAAAAGCCGAGTGTTTGAAGATTTTTTTTGAAAAAAACTATTTTGAAAAAGCAAATTCTTGTAAACTTCAGGAAAACGGCAAATTTGACAACAATGTTGACTCCGTAAGTTCACACCTGAAAGTGTAAAATTTCATGCAAATCCTGCGGCCACTGCGGGCCGTTGCTCAAACGTCTCTAGCTCAGAATTAAAATCGCTCAATTAAGGTTTCATTTTCATACTTCCCTCAAAAACATTCAGTTCAACAGGGAAATTAAAAAGAACCTTGAAATATCCAATCAGCAACAGAAGATTAATGTATCTATCTAATAATCGACTGAAAGGATCGTTTTTTTTGAATTAACTGAATATTTGACAGTAGCTTGTCAAAAAATACAAACTTATTGTCAACGAATTTACAGCTGTCATTCACCGAAATGTCACGTAGGGGGTGATAATCACGTCAGCTGGCAATCTATGTCATTGTCACTGTGTGCATTTAGTATTGAAGAAAGTTGACTACTTCAAAGAGAGACAAAGTCGAAGTCACTTGATCCAGAGCACGAAAAAATCAATTCCAACTTCAAGTCATTTCGGGGTAACTGTAAATCTCCCCCGAGTGGATTTTTCACCCCCACCCCTTCCCCCACAGGTGTATTACCGCTGTGTCGCCATGGATACCAATCATCCCATTTCATTTACCTGTATAGAAACCTCAAACAAGATTATTGACATACTTCCCGGTCTCGGTATAACGTAAAAGGCGTATCTCCAAACTTATCGCACTGACAGAGTTATTGAGTGTGGAGAGAGGACCACTTTATCCATCACCTTTAGTTAAGCATAAAGCACAAAAGCTGGCCAGCTGATCCCCGGCCTCCCAAATCGACAGCAGAAACGCCCAATGGGCGGAGCGCCGCCCCTCCATTCGACTAGCGGATTGGTGGGCCGCGCAGCGCGTAGTTCTAGTAACAGCCCATCACTCACCAATGGTGGCGGCGGACGCTCAAGGTGTTGCTAGACAGTGAAACTCGAGCACCAGTGCGCTTTCGTGGGCTGTTGGTACAGACAGACCGGACACTCTTCGAGTCGTTTTGGCTGCTTGGGTTTGGGGAAAAAGAATTAGCAACAGTGCGATGCAACGACGCGATCGGTGAATTAGTGCTGCGAATATTCTGAGCGAAAACTGTCAAAATTGCAGTAGCAACGCTGGCCAGCCACATGGCTCTGGGTTTGAGCTCCGGTTTGTGTTCCGGAGCCGGCTCTGGGCCCCATTCGGAAAACTCCTCGTCCCCAGGCATCAGTGTTCCCATACCGGTGGCTCCAACGCCAATTCTGCCCAACCCCATGTTCGGTCTGCCGACGCTGAGTTTCACCGTAGCTCAAGTGGCTGCCGTTTGCGAAACTCTCGAGGAATCGGGCGATATCGAGCGGCTGGCACGGTTCCTCTGGTCGCTACCGGTCGCTCATCCCAACATTGGCGAACTGAACAAAGATGAAGCGGTGCTCAGAGCCAGAGCCATAGTGTCGTTTCATAGTGGCAACTTTCGCGAACTCTACTCGATTCTGGAGTCGCACAAATTCACCAAGAGCTCCCATGGCAAGCTGCAGGCCATGTGGCTGGAGGCCCACTATCAGGAGGCAGAAAAGCTGCGAGGCAGAGCCCTGGGGCCAGTTGATAAGTACAGGGTGCGCAAAAAGTTTCCCCTGCCCCGTACGATCTGGGATGGGGAGCAGAAGACGCACTGTTTCAAGGAACGCACTCGCTCGTTGTTGCGGGAATGGTACCTGCAGGATCCCTATCCCAACCCCACGAAAAAGAGGGAGCTGGCTCAGGCCACCGGCCTCACTCCCACTCAAGTGGGCAATTGGTTTAAGAATCGACGGCAACGGGATCGAGCTGCTGCTGCTAAGAACAGGTCAGTGGTCAATCTAGAATAAGGCTCTAAAAGAGGCTTGCCACACAAGCTAAACTATCAAAACCGATAGGATCAAATGAAGTTATTCCTTACAGGCGTGTAGGGAAGACTCAATCGCGCGATAGCCGAAGGATTGGCCATTTGAGTGAAACCGCGCGCCAAAAATGCAAAACATCCAAATAATCAAACTTAAAAATTAGTCTAAATAAGCCTAAAACCCTTTTTAAGCCCAAAGTTTCACTGGATTTGAAGAAATTGACGGGTTCCGCACAATGTACCAGGCGTTTGGCTAATAAGGGATGTTGTGAAAATGTCAAGTCCATCGAAGCTAACCCGAAAAAATCCCACTAATGAAAATCGAAATTCAGTAACAAAACGATTAATAAACAACAAACAAATTCAATTTTAAAGTTAGTTAAATTAAGGCTGAAATTCTTGAAAAATTTCACTAAATTTCGAGAAACTGACAGAGAGCAATACACTTGTAGGCAGGACCTTGTTTTTTTTCGCATTGATTTCATATGGGAAAACGTGTTAATTTGTTTATACTTATCGTATATTATCCGTGTAAATTTCGGAATTTTATGATTGTAGCTATTTTGAGCAAAAATGCTTGGAGAATTCGAAAATTGATAGAAAAAATACAATAAATATACAAAAATAATCATTCAGTTTTGTTTTAAGTAAAGTATTGTTTCATGTGTTCAGCTTCTAAATCGTGTGCGCTTTTTCTGTCTACATGTTTATGAATTCTTATGTGGGCTTTTTACGAACAATTTGAAAGTTTTTTCACATTCAACTCTGTTTTTCCCCAATCAGAAGGCATTTCTTGCTGCCAGGGCTTTCCCAACATCACAACCGATTTACAACAATTCAACTGGTTTTTTATTGGTTTCTTCCTCGCTCGATTTTTATTTTGTTGGTCTTATCTTTGGTTCATTTGTTTAAATCAATAATTTTAAAATGAATAGTAGATCAAAGCATTCTACTTCGATCATTTCCTACGATTTTTTTAAGTCTAATTAGCTAATTTTAAACACAAACGTCGATTATCAGGAAAATTTTGTCTTCAGTTCGTCAGTTCCTGCCGTTCGATTTTCGTTAATCTTTTTCGATTTGGTTTTGGAAGCCCAGAAGTTTTTGGTAATTTTTCTTCTCGTAAGCGGGTGTCATGTTCGTTTGCTTTATGCTATTTTATAAGGTGTTTTTACGAACAATTTGAACATTTTGGATCATATCGCACTGAACAAATTTGACTTTCTTTTCCTGTTCTTTGTTGGCAATTTTTCAATTACCCCAAGCAATTTTTTTGCATGTAGGAAAAACCGATGGCGCGATAAGTTGAAGATTCACTTTTTAATATGAATTCGAGTGAAAAGCAATCACAAAAGATATGAATGATCATAAATCAAAATTCAGCTGCAGAACTTATTAAATTACAATTAAAAAGTAAAGCTGAAAAAAATGTATGGAAGTTCCATTGAATTTACAGAATTAAGAGAGCAAAATACCGAGTTGGCGACTAATAAGAGACATTTCCCGTTTGGCTAAAAAGGGACGTTTTCCGTTTGCTCAGGAATTTTGAGCAAACTCTTTTTTCTTGACCAAAACGTCAAGGCCATCGAAGCTAACACGAAAAAATCCCCATAATCAATAGCGAAATTCAGTAATAAAACGTTTAATAAACAACAATCTAATTAAATTTGAAAATCAATCCAAATAAGGTTGAAATTCTTCAAAAATCTCACTAAATTTCGAGAAACTGACTGTTTGAGAGCAATACACCAGTAGGCAGGACCTTAATCTTTTTTCGCATTGATTTCATATGGGCAAACGTGTTAATTTGTTCATTCTTCTAGAAACCCGTGTAAATTTCGGAATTTCATGATTGTGGCTATTTCGAGATGCTGAATCGAATGATTGGTTATAAGCAAAAATGCTTGGAAAATTCGAAAGTTGATAGCAGGAATACAATAAATTGGCCTGTATTGACCATAATCATTCAAATTTGTTTAAAGCAAAATATTTTTTTGTGTGTTCAGCTGCTAAATCGGGTGCGCTTAGTTTCTGTCTACGTGTTTATTAATTCTTATTTGCGCTTTTTACGAACAATTTGAACGTTTTTCATATTCAACTCTGTTTTCCCCATTTAGAAGGCTTTTATGGCTTTGTCAAGCTACAACAACCCAATTGTTTTTTTATTGCTTTCTTCCTCGCTCGATTTTTTTTTTGCTGGTCTTATCTTTCGTTCATTTGTTTAAATCAATAATTTTAAAATTAATAGTAGATCAAAGCAGTCCACTTCGATCAATTCCTGCAATTTTTTAAAGTCTAATTACCTAATTTTATGCACAAACGTCGATTATCAGAAAATTTTTGTCTTCAGCTCGTCCGTTTCTGCCGTTCGACTTTCGTAAATATTTTTCGATTTCTTTGCATGTAGGAATTATGGTGGCACGAAAGTCAAACATTTCCTTTTTAATATGCCAGAAATCAAAATTCAGTTACAAAACTACTATTAAATAACAATTAAATAGTAAAGCTAAAAAATGTAGAAAAGTTTCGCTGAATATGCAGAATTTAGAGAGCAAAATACCGACCGTTCGAATGCTAAGATCTATTTCGCGTTTGGTTCAGCGATCTCAAAATGAATGTTTTATCAAATTCGCATTTTCCAACCTAAAGCAAGTAGCAATTTGTAATGTTAACACTCTGTAGCCAAAGGTCGATTCTTCAAATGCAGAAAGTTGTATAAAACTCGCGCAAATCATTATTTTTTTAGAGCTTAGGAAAGACCAACCTCAAAAGGAATAATTCTACACAGCTGCGCTCGCTGCTTAAACAATATGCAACTTCCAAACGGAAAGAGGTAGCAATTTTAAATACTCACCATCTTTACCAGGGATGCGACTCTACAGATACAGAAAGTTTGATAAGAATGCCAATAATTTTAATTTCTGCCTACTTAGTAAAACCGACCTCTAAATGGACGTTGCTACCCAATCGTTCCTCCCTTTTAAAAATTTGTACTTTTTCAACTTATCCACACAGGCATTTGAAATCTTCGGAATCTTTGGGAAAAAACCGAGTGTAAATATCCAGAAAGTTTAAGGAAGACCGCCTGTAATAATAATTTTTGCAGGCTTTATAAATACCGGTTTCAAAATGGAAGTTAATAGCCATTTGTTCTCCCCTTTAAAAATTCGTATCTTCTAAAGTAAAAAAGACAGAAATGCAAAACCTTTGCCAGCATTGTCAGAGCGCTCTGGCTATAGATTCTGAGAAGCCGCAAAAAAATTGCAAATAATACTGATTTTTGCTAGCTTAGAAAATATCGGTCTCAAAATTGGAAAAAAAGCTTTTATTCAACAATTCTGCGTCTTTAAAAAATTCGCATCGCCCAAACTAAATTAGGTGGCATTCCGAAATTAGCCCCATCTTTAGCCAGCACTTGTACCTACAGACCTAGAGAATTTCGTAAAATTCCCTGATCATCCTGATTTTTACTTGCTTACTAAACTACTCACCAATTTCAGAATACATGCTTGCTTTTACTCGCCGGCGCATACACATCGTCTAAACTGGCACAAGTAGCAGTTTTAATTTTTCCGGCTCGTTAGCAGATACTTGGCTCCGCAAATAAATACAGAACGTTTCATAAAAATCTCCCAAAAATCGTGGTTCTGCCCGCTTTGTAAATACCGTTCTGAAAATTGATGTTTTCACTCAACTGCACTCTCTTCTTACAAAAGCTCAAGTACTACAAGCAACTGAAAATGGCAATTTAAAATTGTCACCATCTTCAGAATAGACTTGGAGCGACTAAAAGAGGCAAAAAATTCGGTAAAAGTGGCACAAATTATTAATTTTTTCGAGTTGAGGTTAGACCGATCTCAAAATGATAAATTTAGTCAACTACGCTCGTTATTTAAAAAATTCGCATCTTCCAAATAAATCACCACGAACTCTAATGTTTGCCGATTGAGAAAATATCGGGTTATAGAGAGATCAGCTAAATAATGGATTTTTCGTTAAAAATTTCGTATTTTCGCAAGTGAAAATGGAAGGGATTTTAAATTTCTGCCCACTTAGAAGACAGTTCACAGTAACGACCTGGAAAAGTGGACTAAAATTGTACTCAATGCTGATTTTCCAGCTTAGAAAATCTCCATCGCAAAATTGATGCTTTTATTCTACAGGACTCTCACTTTTCAAAAATTCAAATTCAAGTCAAATTTGTACTTTCCTTTATCAAAGGTGGCAGTGTAATGCTTGTTTTATCCTCTTTGTGACTGGCGATTTTTAAACGTTCCGTTCTATTTAAAATTGCGAATTAAAACAGCTTAAGTTGCGATTTTTTAAGAATGCGGTGGCCCAAAAAGGTTTTTTTTTTAAGGAAACCAAACGTGACTTTTGCTGGGATGCAAACAATATTTCCGTTCACATTTAGTTAAATAGAGAGTAGGTATAATAAGTGTTAAAAAAAATAGCCAAATTTTTCTCATGGATCCAATTAACCCATTGTGACTGCAAACTACCTCTTTTAGCTGCTCACACTGAATATTCTGTTAGTAAGTCAAAATAAGTTAACAAAATAACTTCATTTTGAATTAAACTTTCAAATTATGCAGTTTGAGCTCATTTAGGAACAGGCATTTTTTTACATTTCCAAGTTTTGCAACAATTTTCAAAAGTTTTCCGCAAAATGGCCACACATTCGTATATACGCAGTTCACTATTAGACATTTAATGTTAACAAAATAAACATGTTCTTTGAAGAAAAAAGATAGCTTTCTCTGTAACATCGCCTTTGAGTATATTTTCCCTGGATGAAAGCGAAATTGTCGGTTTTAAGACAAAAATTTCTGCTACGCTTCAAAATTTTAATGAGTAAATAATTGGGTTTTACCACGTTAAGCAATTCCATGCCAAAATTATTAAAATTGGGAATTTTGAAAAATCGAAGTGGTTAACTTGGTTGGCCTGCAGTTGCCCCCGAT